TCGGATTCTCCAGCATCTGCAGTTCCTACTATCTCCCATAACAGAAATGTTTCATTTTTGTCAATATCTTAAGTCTTGAATTTTGTCATGCCATTTCGCCAGTCAATAGAGCTAATGGTTCCGTTATTATACTATTCTATATAGAAAAAATGTTCTCTCCTCTCTTATGGCACAATCAATTCAATCACTGGTTGTTACTAAGGTGGTGCCCCAAGGGAGAAATTCAATTCAAACACAAAACATCATGTGTGATTTGTTCAAATGCATTTTTGATTAGAATCTTTTTTTCAATTTAACTTTTCCAATTAACTTATTTTATAGTTTATTGTAAATCTCCTTCCCAATTGAAGTCCAAATTGAGTGTAATTATTTTAGTAGTGTTATTCTACAGTCTTCTGAAGACATGACTAATGCGTGAGGGCACATGATAAAGTCAGTAGGTGGAGGAAATGGAAGGTGGCTTGTTTTGTTCCCTGCATATGCAGCAAATTTAAAAAGATATCCTGGCAAGTGAAAACACTGATGCTGAGATCATTTGAAAGAGAAGTTTCAAGCAGACAAAAGTATCAAGAGAGAGTGTACAAATATTCAGCACAAAACTGCATTGCCAGAAACAGTAATGACTTTCCGCCAACTCTAAGTTAGCTTTGTACGGTAACAACAGGTGTTAAAATTATTGATTTTTCAGGGATTTGAGAGACATTATGAAATGCAACATTATTAGCTTTACATTTTAAAATTCCAAACTCCATACAATGTATTAAAAAACAGCATTTATTATTTTCGTAGAATCCCTACAGTGTGGAAGCAGGCCATTCAGCCCATTGAGTCTACACTGACCTTCTGAACAGCATCCCACCCTCTACCCTATTGCTGTAACCCTGCATTTCCCATGGCTAATCCATCTAGCTTGCATATCCCTGGACACTATGGGCAATTTAACATGGCCAATCCACCTAACCTGCACATCTTTGGACTGTGGGAGGAAACTGAAGCACCTTGAGTAAACCCGAGCAGACACAGGGAGAATGTCTGTGTGGAGTCTGCACAGTCACCCGAGGCTGGAATCGAACCTGCGTCCCTGGTGCTGTGAGGTAGCTGTGCTAACTACTGAGCCACCGTGCCACCCATTATTCACACAGATTGCAGCAAGAAGGTGGTGACTGCATTATTTATATAACTGCTTATAATGTATAGTGTTAATTTGACTCCAAACTAAAATTTATTTGGAAGTTAGAAATAAATTATTTGTGGAAGTAATGTTAATTACACACATCTCCACAAGGCAATCTGATTCACAGCAGCTGCATACGAACTGGATCAGTTTTTACTGCAGAACTACGTGGCAGATTCAAATGAATTTGCATTATAACATTTGAATTGCTGCCAGGTGAGCTCACAATTACCTTGCTTCTGCAGCACCAGTTCACTGTTGTAAATTTAATTATCTGTACTCTATGCAGAAAATTCATAGCTTTTTGACTTACAAAATGGTCTTGAATAAACATTCGAGAGGTGCAATAAACTGATTTTAACACAATGTCTTAAGATTCCTATATGATATGCATAACGAAGTCAGGTTGCTGCCAAAGTTTTATCATGGGGGAGAATTATTATAGTGGTTTAACATATGCTGAAGAGCAAAGTGATTTTATAGAGGTACAGAAAGATGTGAAAGGTACAAACAAGATAAATGCAGAACCCCATTTTAAAAGTTCCAGCTAACAAAAGGCAAAGTTAAATCCAACAGGTGATATATTTAATGAACAGAACTAAATGAATGTCCAGAATCATTTAGGCAGCAGATGCTTTCAGAGGCATCCGGAACTCTCAAGTGGCTGGACAATACATGGACAGCACAAAGAATTTCGGACTGGCTGAACAGTGCATACCCAATTCCTAACTGATCTTTCTAAAGCTAATGCCCATCTTATTGATGTGACTTCCCACTATCTTTGTTCTTTGAAATATTTATCATTTTGTAGAATCAACCCATCTATGGCATCTTGTCTGTATCAACCTGCCAACGTTTTACATCTTTACAGACAATGGTGTACCAATAATTTATGCATCATCTTAGAGTACAGTGTCACCATCTAGTGACTAACTAACATCCCCAAATGCCCCAATTGATACATCTAAGTATTCAAAATCTATCAATATTCCTGGGGGGGGGGGGGGGGAGGGGGGGGGCAGGCGCGGGTTTGTATGAGTTGTATGTCTGTATGGGTTTCTGCCGGGTCTGTGGTTTCCTCCCACAGTCCGAAAGTTGTGCAAGTTAGGTGGATTGGCCATGCTGAATGGCCCATAGTGTCCAGGAATGTGTAGGTTAGGTGCATTAGCCACAGGAATGCAGGGTTACAGAGACAGGGTGGGGGGAGGGAGAGTGGGTCTGAGTGGGATGCCCTTTGCAGAGTCGGTGTAGACTTGTTGGGCTGAATGGCCTGTTTCCACACTATGGGGATTCTATGTAAACAACTATGTGCTGATGCCTGAAACAAGTTAAAGCTCAAAATAATCATACACATCTAAGATACATACTTTAAGTTACCAAACTAAACCATTTTAAAATAGAGCTGTATCTGACTAAAACTTTTTTTACCACACAGTATTTTCACCTTTATTAGCCAAAGTTTATATTAACTTGAGCCATAAAACAACTATAAAACCACAAACACATGACCTGACATCTTTGCTGGATTATGGCTACTTTTCCTTACAAAATGTTTTAAAACTAATCCCAATTAAACTTAAGCAAGGGAGAAATTAAATATCAAAATTATTAAATATTAAAAATAAATCAAATTATACTGGAAAGGAGAGTGTCACAGTTAGACTGTCCCGATTGGCAGACTGGTTCTTCAGAACTGTTCCATTCTTCCTTACTTGTATCCACTGCCTATGCAAAGCAGTGGTTAAAATGTTACCTGTATTTCAGTCTCCAATCACTGAAGATTTGCACCAATACCACTGTACTCTATAACAATCTATTAAGATCGAAGAATTTTGGGGTCATAAAATTTAATGTAGGAATAGGAACTGTGCAATTAATTTACTTATACCTTGTTCAGATGATGCAAACTAATTTAACTTCTAGGTTGAACAAAATGGGCTACAAAGGAGAGGGATGACGACAATTTCAGAGTATCACCCGGTCATAAAGCACAGAAACAGACCCTTCAATTGAATCAGTCCATGCCAACCATAATCCCAAACTGAACTAATCCCACCTACCTGCGCTTGGCCCATATCCTCTAAACTTTTATCATTCATGTATGTATCCAAATGTCTTTTAAACGTTGTAACTGCACCCACATCCACCAATTCCTCTGGAAGTTCATTGCACACAGAAACAATTCTGTGTAAAAAAAGTTGCCCCTTGTGTCCTTTTTAAATCTCTTTCTCCTCTCACCTTAAAAATACGCCCTCCAGTCTTGAAATTCCCCGGCATAGGAAAAAGACACCTGCTATTCACCTTATCTATGGCCCTCATGATTTTGAAAACCTCTCTGAGGTCACCCCCTTTTGATCATGATGTCACTATCTTGGCCACATCATAAAGACCAAAAACAATTAATACTGAAACACTACATTAAAGGACACCCCAAAAAATAAAGGGAACAAGAAAAAAAAAGGCAAAGATTACAAAACTGCCCAGTGAATGAATTATTTTGGATGGTCAGACACAAATTATTAGTTGGTTAGGAACAGGATCAGGCACAGCAAGCTCCCACAAACACCATCACAATGACCAGATAATTGGTTTTTAGGGACACTGGTTAATATTTTGAGATGGTGAGTCTTCATCAGAACTCAGAACTTTCTTCCTACAGATGCAGCTGGACCTGCTGAGACTCTCCAGCAATTTCTACCCTTTCTCCAGGAGAACTCTGTTGATCTTTTAAAATACATTCGACTGCGGAAGTATATGTAGTCCCTGTTTAAAATCCATTCCAAAGGTGGGAGGTTTGGCCAGGATTTTGTGCTCAAGTCCCTGCAGTGAGACTGTATCTCTCAAACTTCTGACCAAACATTACTATAATCTCAAGCACACCCACTAGGTTTCCTCATCCAAACAGATCATTTCATTGCTTACCTGCCTGAAATACAGATACAAAATTTAAAGTTATGAACTGGCAGTACCACAGGTTTGCAGGGTTTGGGATAAGTCAAAATCTATTAGTATACAAGATGACTATTCTACATGCCTTTCCACAGAAAACAAACCACCAGCCATCAACAGAATGAAGTTACCTGTAGAAGAGCACATAAGCTTCTGCATTCTGCACAGTTGATTCGGACACTTCCATCACACACTGGTCATCAAATTCAAACCATCGATTATTCAGATCATTTAGGCAATAAGCTGTATAATGGCCACCTAGAGTCAGAATAATACAAACATCTGTAACTGTATCTGGAGGAACTGAAAGATCATAGATTATAAATTATAGCCACTGGCTTAGTGACAGAAAAGCTTGAAACTGTTGTTGAACTGAAGATATTTAACAACATTTTTGGAAGTCCTGAAAACCAACACTTTGACAATATATACACTAGCTACCACTTGCCCACAAATACAGTGAAGCAGGGATTTCTTCCCTCTTTCTCCTCTCTATGCAAACTACAAAGAAGTGAGCAGTTTCCAAAGTCATAACCTATGTAATTAAGAACTTGATTAACTCCACCTTTCAAACTTTGCATCTTATTCCATATGAGGTCCAGTGTCTTTAGGCCCCTTATCAAAGGAGAGATATACTAGCATTGAAGGCAGTCCAAAAAAGGTCCACCAGCCTAATACTAAGTATGGAGGGACAACCTTAATAGGAGAAGTTGAGCAGTTTGGGCCTGCACTCGATGAAATTTAGAAGAATCAGAGGCGATCGTATTGAAACGTTCAAGATTCTTAAGGATAGATGTGGAAAGGTTGTCTCCCTTGTGGGAGAGTTTAGGACTGGAGGGCATAATCTCAGATCACTTAAGACGGAGGTGAGAAGGAGTTTCTACTTTATCATAGAAAGCTATCACAGAATCCCTACAGTGTGGAAACAGGCCCTTCAGCCCAACCAGTCCACACCGAACCTCAAAGCATCCCACCCAGACCCACACCGCTATAACCCACCTAATCTACACATCCCTGAACACTACAGGCAATTTAGCGTTGCCAATCCACCTAGCCTGCACATCTTTGGACTGTGGGAGGAAACCGGAGCACCCGGAGAATGTGCAAACTCCACACTGACAGTCGCCCGAGGGTGGAATTGAACCCGGGTCCCTGGCGCTGTGAGGCAGCAGTGCTAACCACTGAGCCGGTTGTGAATCTGTGGAATTCTTCACTCTCGAGGGCTGTTGAAGCTGGGTTGTTAAGTGCCTTCAAAGCTGAGATAAGGTCAAAAATCGCATGACGCCAGGTTATAGTCCAACAGATTTATACGAAAACACTAGCTTTCGAAACTCTGCTCCTTCCTCAGGTGTTGCGTGGAAAAGGAGGTATACTGACATGTTTTCTTTCGGCTTAACAATCTGTAAAAATGGTTCACTGGCCACCTCTGTTGAACCTTTGATCAATTAGAAAGGAGATGCAGGTTTCTTTTGATTAAAGTGCAAATCCCAGAATCTCTTTCAAGTTATTGCCCTGAAATAATTAGAGGTTTTATCAGCATGTACAAGAGGTGACATCTCAGGTCAGACAACGTATATTAAGTGTGACGCCTTGTTTAGAATCCGTATCCTTTTTCACCTGGAGTTGAGCTGGTTTCATTTTTTTGAACAAAATAGAATCTGCATGTGCAAATACACAAATATCTTGGATGAAATAACGGTGTGCGTGCGCATCTGTGATAGTTGTGAAAAATAAAACCAGCCTGACTCCAGGTTAAAACACAGACAGATTCTAAACAAGGCCTCGCACCTAAAATGCATTGTATGACCTAAGAAGCCACTTCTTGTATACACGGATAAAACCTTTAATTATCTCAGGGCAATGACTTGAAAAGAGATTCTGGGATTTGCATTTTAATCAATAGAAACCTGCATCTCCTTTCTAACTGATTCAAGATTCAACAGGAGGCGGCTAGCGAGCCATTTTTACCATTGTTACCTTTCTGCTTATGAATTCTGTGTCAGTATACCTCCTCTTCCACACTAAACCTGAGGAAGGAACAGAGCTCTGAAAGCTAGTGCTTTCAAATAAATAAACCTGTTTTTCAAGGACCGTAACATCCCCCCCTCGGTGGTCGAGAACGCCCTCAACCGTGTCTCCCACATCTCCCGCACCTCATCCCTCACACCCCGTCCACGCAATAAAAACCAAAAAAGAATCCCCCTCGTCCTCACGTACCACCCCACCAACCTCCGGATCCAACGCATCATCCTCCGACACTTCCGCCATCTGCAATCCGACCCCACCACCAAAGACATCTTTCCCTCCCCACCTTTATCTGCTTTCCGGAGGGACAACTCTCTCCGTGACTCCCTTGTCCGCTCCACACTCCCCTCCAGCTCCACCACACCCGGCACTTTTCCCTGCAACCGCAGGAAGTGCTACACCTGCCCCCATACCTCCTCCCTCACCCCCATCCCAGGCCCCAAGAAGACTTTCCACATCAAGCAGATGTTCACCTGCACATCTGCCAATGTGGTATACTGCATCCGCTGTACCCGGTGTGGCTTCCTCTACATCGGGGAAACCAAGCGGAGACTCGGGGACCGCTTTGCAGAACACTTACGCTCGGTTCGCAACAAACAACTGCACCTCCCGGTCGCGAACCATTTCAACTCCCCCTCCCATTCCTCAGACGACATGTCCATCCTGGGCCTCCTGCAGTGCCACAACGATGCCACCCGAAGGTTGCAGGAACAGCAACTCATATTCCGCTTGGGAACCCTGCAGCCCAATGGTATCAATGTGGATTTCACAAGTTTCAAAATCTCCCCTCCCCCTACCGCATCCCAAAACCAGTCCAGCTCGTCCCTGCCTCCCTAACCTGT